GTGTGCGAATACTTTTCTGGAAGTACGCAGCACTTATGCCAATCTATTCCTGTCTTTGCAGGTATTTTAGACTGCAATGCCTATCATTTTCATCACTGTAAGGACTTACAGTTGAACTAACCAGGCACCAAGAAATTTTATATAAGGAATTTGGTGTTAAGTTCCATTCCAGTTTATTTAGTGCTGGTAACATGAAATTCAAAGCAGAATCTTGATGTTTCAATCTGTTTGTTGTAGAGTGTCTAACTTTAATATCTGTTTTTAATGAAATGAAAATTAAATATAGCTGGTTTGATAATTGTATGCTTATGGACAATAATGCAGTCCAAGTTCTATCTCTTTTCACCCACCAGTGAACATTATTACATTATTTAATTTATTTACATTATTTTATGAACTGATGGGAGGCTGACACACTGCAAAGTAAATCCTCATCCTCCTACATCATCTTCATTTCTACTCCAGGAAAAAGTTTTGTTTGTCCATAAGAAGTCTCTTGGAGTGACTATCTGTAGCTAGGCAGAGTCTGAAAAAACATTAAATAATTCAGGAAAAAAAAATGGTCCCAGACAATGGCAACTCAACGTTATTAAGAAAATACCCAGTTCTCTAAAGAGGGAGTGAATGGAAGCCTCACTAAATTGCCTACTGATAAATGAATGTTTCCATTAGCCATGCCTTTCACAGCAACCATTCTATTCATATTTAAGCTTTCTTTCCTCTGGTTATTTTTTTGTAAGAGTGCCCATGATATTCTCTCAAAATTCCAAATGTGCTCACAGTCTCAAAAATTGCATCACTCTGAGGTATAATGTGTTACTATGAATAGTGAGTGTACAACTATCAGTAGAGAAATACAAAGATGATGCTAAACTTGTTGCCCATTATTAAATATTCAAATACAATGGTCTTCATTGTCACTAAAAAATAACTTAACAAAAATGCTGAACAAACGTTTCTGTCTGGAATATTTCCAAGTTGCAGCATTATCTACCAAAATATCTTTCTTTTAGACACTCATTTTAACTCAGTTACTGGGACATTGCTAAGTCTAGGGGTGGTATTCTACTGGTTCTGACTGGTTCTATAGAACCCCTTGTTAACTTTCAAAGCAGTTCGGAGAACCGGTAGTTAGAAGAAATCTCCTTTTGTTTTTTTTCCCCACCCTTATTACATTCTTGCCAGTACGCCTAGACTTCCTGTCTCCGGAGCTTCTGGGGCTTGACTTTCTTAAAGGGGAAGGGTTGTTTTAAGATTTTTACACTGCTGTTGGGAGGAAATACTTCCCTGGACAATCAGCACTTTAAAGAAATAATTGAATAATGAAGCAGAGCTGTCAGAAAGAAGCTTTTAATGACAGGGAACCAAGATGAGTGACATTCAGCAAGGCTTCTTGGCTAGCTAGAAAGATTGACATGCAAACATGACTTTACATACCCGTTCTGAGTTTTGGTCTAAAACTGGTTTTTGGTGAAGGTTAATTCTGTGCTTGGTGACATTTAATCCTGTGTTTATTGATGGGATAATTTCCCTATTCAGCTTCAACAAAAACAGCTATTGTTGTGATTTAATTATTTGTATTGTGTTTGAATTTTTTCCTGCCTCATGGTTTCTTTTTTTATCTGGAGATGTCTTCATTCATTACTTTAGTGGTATCAGATACTGTCCTTTTGGGGTGTACTTCCAAGAGACAGGATGCATGCTTGGCACTGATTTTTTTTACTGCCTTTCGGGGGGCATGTGACTTTTCCTTAAATCTGGATGATTTCCTTAGGATATCTTGTGAGGTGAATGAGACCAGCTGATATCTTTAAGTGGTGCAAAGGGATCTAAGGATTGCTTCTCCTGGGTGTGCTCTTTCTGGAGAGCTTAAATGACCTATCTGCTAAAGGGTTTCACTTTATGAGCAAGAGATGGCTGCTGATAGTTATCCCTGCATTTTAACTATTTTAATTCCTCAAGGTGCTCTGGCACCCTGCCTGATTTGTAACTCCAGCTTGCAGGTCTTTTTAATCTAATGATTGGTATTTAGGGCAGCTTTTTGCAAGCAAAGAAGTTTTTGTATTTTTGTACAGGTAATCCTTGACTTACAACAGTTCATTTAGTGACCATTCAAAGTTACAGTGGCACTGAAAAAAGTGACTTATGACCATTTTTCACACTCATGACCATTGCAGCATCCCCACTGTCATGAGGACAGGCAAGGAGCAATGCCCCTTGATATGAGTGATGTCGAGTTGGCCACGCCCACCCAGTCACATGACCACCAAGCCATACCCACCAGCTAAGCCAGGCCCACAGAACCGGTTGTTAAAAAAAATTGAATCCCACCCCTGCTTATCCAGTGCTAATCACTATTTTTCATTCAAATGAAAAATACTTAGGTATGGCTGCCTGTCTTGAAAATATATATTTTATGACTGATTTGGCATTAATGATCAATATTCTAAATGAAATTTTTCTTCCTTCAAATGCACTGCAGGCAAGAAATGTAGACATCATAAAGGCTGAAAAGCTTGTGATAAGATCAATTAAAGCATTTGAAATGCTTAGAAAGGAAAAGGGTACATACGAAAAAAAATTGATGGATTAATTACTTCAGAAACATTCAAAAATATCAAATTTGTAGAAAATCATCGCTTTGTTGTGCTTCCTTGGGAAAGACTTTTAGAAAGCATGGTAACAAATTTGAATAAAAGACTAATGGATTGTGAACATTTAAAAACAGGTAGCCAATTTCAAGACAAATAAATTAAAATTTCTCTATTTTTTGGAACCAGATTACTGGAATATTGAAAAAGTAGCAATTCCGTGGAAAGAAGCTGAGGAACAATTGCTTGAATTTAATGATATTTTTAATTACCAAATTAATATTAACGATTATCGAGATTTTGTAGAAAATGTTTCATCATGCTACTGTAAATTGTTCAACCTGGGTTACTTTTAAGGGAGAAATACATCCGTGAATTTTTAAGAACTTTTCCAGTGTGGGCAATACACTAGAAGCTCTTCTGTTGCTGAAGATATTGAAAAAACTGGTGAGGAAGTAATTCTGAAATGATGACTGTTATGTCCCCGGGACTAACACAAGTTCTCTATCAGGTCCGTCCATCCTGTGGGGGCGTTTGCGACCCCCATTGGCTGGCTTCCTTCGACAGCCGGCTATAAAAGCCGGCTGCTAGGTCGAGCCAGTCGCTGTTCGCTAGCTAGTCTGCTGTTAGCTGCAGACACGACAGCCCCCTTTATTCCCTTGAATAAAGCGTGTTACAGAATGCTCTGGTGTGGCCTCCCCTTTCTTCGGAACTTAACATTGGCGACGAAGGTGGGATCAGGCCAACCAGCAGCAACTAACAAGAGCTGAATCACACACCAAAACGCTGAACCGTAGCCGCGTCGCTGAGAGCTCGGTCAGTTGTGGATTGCGGAAGTGAAAGCAGAGCGTGTAGCCGCTCGTTAAAAAAGCTACGTGAAAGTAGGGCACTGAAAACCTCAGCCGCCCAGCATTGAGCACAGAATCCAACCGTCACAGTTCGGATTCTGCTGTTAGCGAAGTTCCGGCGCTGCACTCACAGCCGCCAGGATACAATTAGGCGCACATTTTGAATAGCTGTCAGCACGGGGCTACAGCCATAGCCGCCTACACCCTTGTAAGGGCGTGATTTTCAAACTGAAGTCAGTTACGGCTATACAGCCATAGCCACATAGAGCGTGTAACCCAGAGAGATCCTATAGAGCTGAAGCAGCACTGCGTACTGCAGCTGCCACACTTATCAGGGCCATTGCATTCCCAGTGAGATTGGTCAGTCTACAACAGACTGAACTTCAACATGAATTCAAATCCAGCATTTCCACCATTCAAGCCAGATGAAGACAAGTGGGACTCTTACAGGAACCGCTTCAATCACTACATTGATGCCATCGGTCTGGCCGATGCTACAGAGAACAGGAAGAAGTCGTACTTCCTGAGTTACTGCGGGGCCGCAGTATTCGATACCGCCACAGCGCTATTCGCCCCCAGAGAATTGAAGAACGTTCCTTGGTCCGAGCTGTTGGAGACACTCTCCAATCATTACTCCCCAAAGCCATCACAGATAGCAAGACGCTTCGCCTTTCGTATGAGGAAGCAAGCAGATGGGGAATCTGTCAATCAGTATATGGCCGCTTTGAGAACCGCAGCACTCCACTGCGAATTCAGAAATTACCTAGACGATATGCTCCTGGATCAACTCGTCTGTGGAGTCAGAGATATAAAATTACAGAGGCGTTTGCTGGCCAGGAAAGACCTCAATCTGACTCAGGCAATCGAAGAAGCTTTGGCAGCAGAACTAGCAACTCAGTCGGCCGCTGAAATTCAAGGTAGCGCAACCAAAGCCAACCCGGTCACTGTCCACTCCGAGGAAGTGGTAAGCGAAGAAGACTCCATCGAGCACTCAGAGGTCCATCGCCTCAAACCCTTCAAACAGCCTCAGGTAGGAGCTAGACTAAAAAACAGCAGCTCACCTAAACACAGCCTGTTGTGCCTCTCCTGCGGGGGGTCCCATGCAAGAACAACTTGCAGGTTTAGGAACGCCACCTGCAACAATTGCAACAAGAAGGGCCACATCGCCAGGGCCTGCCAGGCAACGCACACAGCTCCACAAAGGTCATCATCCTTTTACTCTCCTTCCGAGCCACCCAGGCAAGTAGAAAATTGTTATACGTGTTACCAGGCTAACCATACCTTTTTGACCCCTAATAAAATCACAATTTCTATCCATTTAGAAGGTAAACCCTGCCTTATGGAAGTCGACACTGGGTCAGCGCTCTCGATCATCTCGTGGAGCACGCTCAAGAAAATACGACCTACCCTGTCCAGGAAGCAGCTCCAGAGAAGTCGCCTCACCTTGAGGGATTATCAAGGGAAGAATATTCCAGTACTCGGAACAGGCAAGTTCCTTGTTAGATTCAAATCCTTTAAAGGCCATCTGCCTTTAGTGGTGGTGGATGGTGCCCTCCCTAGCCTTTTGGGGTTGGATTGGCTCCCCTATCTCGGCCTTAGCTTAACGGGAGTACATGCTGTCTCACCTTCCGATATCGACACCCTATTTTCAGATTATGCTGATGTATTCAGCAATGAATTGGGCTGTTACAACGGTACGCCCATTTCTTTTTCAGTGGACCCGCAAGCTGTCCCCATCCGCTTGAAACCGCGGAGAGTACCATTTGCTCTGCGTTCTAAGCTGGATGCAGAACTAGATAAATTGCTTAAGCAAGGGGTGATCGAGCCCACAGATTTTGCTAAATGGGAGACTCCAATTGTCACACCCCTTAAAAAAGATGGCAGTATAAGAATGTGTTCTGACTACAAGACCACAATCAACCGCTATCTACAGACTAGCGCATATCCAGTCCCAGTAATCCAACACTTACTACACACATTTGAACCGGGAACCATATTCGCCAAATTGGATATGTCACAGGCGTACCAGCAATTTCCTGTGGATAACCAAACGGCCGAATTGCAAACAATTGTCACCCACAGAGGGGCATTTCGATGCAAGCGCCTCCAATTTGGCGTTAGCGTCGCCCCAGGTATTTTCCAGTCATTAATGGAACGGATACTGCAAGGCCTCCCTGGCGTAGTTCCGTACTTTGATGACATCTTGGTTTCAGCCAGGGACAGACCCCAACTTTTCCTCAGAGTCAGAGCGGTATTGGATAGGTTTAGGCAGCATGGCCTCAAACTAAAAAGGGAAAAATGTGCCATCGCCACTAAGCAGGTGGACTTTCTTGGGTATAAAATAGACGCCTCAGGCATCCACCCGGTGGAGTCCAAAGTCAAGGCCATTCACGAGGCACCCACTCCTTCTTCCAAGTCAGAATTACAAGCCTTCCTGGGTCTGCTAAATTTCTATGCGTCGTTCCTACCCCACAAGGCGTCAGTAGCTGAACTGTTGCATAGACTTCTAGACAAAAACACTCCATGGCATTGGGGACCCAAAGAGGAACATGCCTTTAAGGCAGTCAAAACGCTAATCACTTCAGACGCTGTCCTAATTCAATTCGACCAGCGCCTCCCTCTAGTCTTAGCTGCAGATGCCTCACCTTTTGGAATTGGGGCTGTTTTAAGCCACAGACTCCCCAACGGCACCGAAGCTCCAATCGCATTCTTTTCTCGAACCCTGTCAACAACCGAGCGTAACTATAGCCAAATCGACAAAGAGGCCCTAGCCGCCGTTGCTGCGGTCAAAAAATTCCATGAATTTCTTTTTGGGCACAATTTTGAACTTGTCACAGATCACAAACCTCTGTTGGGACTCCTCTCAGGAGAAAAACAAACACCGCAAGTCTTGTCTCCCAGGATGACTAGGTGGACCTTATTCCTGGCAGCTTACTCGTACAAACTGGTTCACCGCCCAGGAAAAAACCTTAGCCACGCCGACGCTCTCAGCCGCTGCCCGTTGCCAGCACCCGTGGAGGACCCGGCCCCGGTCCATGCAATTTTCGATGCCAGTGAGTTTAACATCCCAGTCACCGCCGGTGACATAGCTCTCCACTCCAAGAAAGACAAACTTATTGCCCAGGTCCTGGACTGGGTACGGAGGGGGTGGCCGGGCAGTAATCTGTCAACTGATTTCTTACCGTTTAAAACCCACCAGCAGGAACTTTCCAGTTTACAGGGCTGCCTACTATGGGGGACCAGAGTGGTCATTCCAAAACCGCTGCGTACGCCCGTCCTGAAAGCGTTACACGAGGGGCACCCCGGCATCGTTCGGATGAAAGCATTGGCTCGGAGTTATGTATGGTGGCCCGGCATGGACGACGAAATCGCGAAATGGGTAAGCTCCTGCCGCCCCTGCCAAGAATCCAGGCCAGCACCACCGATTGCTACCCCAACCAAATGGGAGAGTGCCAACGCACCGTGGTCACGATTGCACATTGACCTGGTAGGTCCCTTCCATGGCAAGACTTTCTTAGTGGTCGTGGATTCATTCTCCAAATGGATAGATGTGGCCCTCCTACTCACAACTACCACCCGAGCAGTTGCCCAGGCTCTGACCCGCTTATTTGTTACACATGGTCTACCTGACACCATAGTCTCAGATAATGGCCCCCAATTTGCCTCCACAGAATTCAGCCGGTATGTCACCAACCTGGGCATCCGGCATATCCTAACGGCTCCCTTTCACCCTGCCAGCAATGGGTTGGCAGAGAGAGCCATTAGGACAGCGAAAGAAGCATTGACAAGATTCACTCAAGATGACTGGCACTCCAGACTCTCTCGTTTTCTTTTAAGCCAACACTCGACCCCTTGTACTGTCACAAACAAATCCCCCGCTGAGTTACTGATGGGCAGATGCTTAAGGACAGTATTAGATAGACTGCATCCCCACTACTGCCCTGACACACCAATTGGTTCTAACAGTAGGGTCAGGAGTTTTATGTTACAGGACCAAGTGTTCGCCAGAAACTACGCAGGCGATCCACTGTGGGTACCCGGAAAGATCGTGGCCATCACCGGCCCAAGATCATACCGCGTCCAGCTAGAGGATGGTCGTATATGGCGGAGGCATCTGGACCAGATAAGAAGTCGCCAGAGCGAACATGCCAACACTGATCCAGGGACTCCGGTGACTGTCCAATCGCCGCATCCGAATCCCAGCTGCGACCTCCAGAGTGACCAGTCATCACCAGCCGAGCCAAGAGAACGGACGGTAGACCGGGACCGTCCTACAGAGGCGTCAGCCATTCCAACCAGCGACACCACCGGGTTGCGTGACAATGATAATTTAACAATCCAACCCGGGGGCTGTGACCATTCCCATACGCCAGGCCGGGCCCCAGTTCGATCCAAGGGTCCAGCAGAGCCAGTTCCGGACTCCCAGAACTCCATGCCACCTTGTGTCTCGCCAGAACTGCGCCGGTCTGGACGCTCGCACAAGCCGCCCACTTATTTAAAGGACTACTCGTGTTCGTATCTGGGGGGAAGGAGTGTTATGTCCCCGGGACTAACACAAGTTCTCTATCAGGTCCGTCCATCCTGTGGGGGCGTTTGCAACCCCCATTGGCTGGCTCCCTTCGACAGCCGGCTATAAAAGCCGGCTGCTAGGTCGAGCCAGTCACTGTTCGCTAGCTAGTCTGCTGTTAGCTGCAGACGCGACAGCCCCCTTTATTCCCTTGAATAAAGCGTGTTACAGAATGCTCTGGTGTGGCCTCCCCTTTCTTCGGAACTTAACAATGACCCAGTGGGTTACCAGGGGAAGTACTGTGTAGCTTATGACTTTACAAATTTCAAGCCCATTATCTCCAGGCAGAATTTACCCACATGATAGAATCCACTAAATGGGGTATGTTACAACAAATTATCTACCAGGAAGTAAGACAGATGGAGGCCCATAAGCAAGTAATCTCTTTTATGGTTTCTATCCATTGGAACAACTTGTCCCCAGTGGTAGGATTCAAAATTTTTTACTACTGGTTCTGTGGTAGTAAAAAATGGTGGGCATGGCATGGCTTGGTTGGCATGTCTTGGTGGGCATGGCA